TTTTAAACATTGAAATTGACTGTGAAAACACAAGAGACAAGAAAAGTGTTCCACAAGTGAAAAGAACGAATGAAGAAAGTATTAGCATAGAAATTACGGTTTCATCTAACCGTTTGAAGTGTAAAATGATGAGACCAAACTTCCAATCTAGTACTGCATTTAATTTTCTAAAGTCGAGGTACCAAAGAGGAAAGCTGTTCAGAACAATTGCAATGAAAATATTTATAGACAAGACACAGGAGAGCTACGTTACGGCGGTGAGAAAGTCGCTGAAACAGAGATGACAGGTCAGGACAATTAACATTGCAGATTCTTCTTTGTATTTTATCAAGAATCTCTAAATACACAACAGACGCACCAGATCCGATATGAGAGCAATATCCAATGCATGGACAAATGGTAGACTTATAAAGGCAAAACAAATTAGGGTGAAAATATTATTTTTAAACTTGTCGGGAATAATGAAAACACCAGTTAAGTAACCTCGATCCTCGTCAGTATCTAGATGGGTGACTGCTTAGGAATATCCGGTGCTATAAGCTTGGATGTGTGGGTGATGTAATGGATAACGGCTCGGAATTTTTAATCGGAGAGCCGTGTTCCAATTCATCATATTCGTTATATTGACTTACGCGCAAATTGGCTCGGGAAAGATATTAATACACACCTTCCCCAGCCATGGGTTAAATTGGAGGTCTTGTATAAGTAAATCATTATTATCTCCAAAAAAATTCTTAAAATTCAAAAATATTTTATGGCTTTAAAATAACCTGTTAAATATTGATAAACCGTAAAATATTATAAAACAATCACTCAATAAATTCTTAAATTTTATTTACTATTTTTGCTTTATTTATATATTTCTTTTTCCTTCAATAGGAGTAGATAGGTTCGCCTATTGTCCAGTTCGCACTCCACTCCGGTCTTTTGATCAATAGTAGAGGTTTATCGGTTGTTTCCTGTTTCCGATACCTTCTAAAGTTTTCTCATTCATTCTCTTTTGCTCCTTGTTACCCCCGGCGTGTTCTAATTCCAGTCGGGTTCATTACATTCATTTACCCGCAAATACCCTTAAAACCGCAGACAAGTTAAAGTGACTAATAATCATTGTGTTTTTAGCATAGGCCTGTAACGACTGCACTACAAAGGCGAGTATATCTTATTTCCTAAGAGTAAGTTTTGCACAAGGCCACATATATGGGGCACCCATGAAGATCAAACTTAATACTCAGTTGTGATAGTTAACAAGACTCGTACAATGACAATTACCTCACGCCGAGGCACCCAAAGGTGCGTCTATATTATCTTGTAAATACACGTGTGACGGTTATTTATAATATTTTCTTTGTTTTGCCGTGTTCAACGACTTTTTCTTTAATTTCTATTTTTTTTTCTCGCCCCACTCCCCGATCAATCGTAACAAAATCCTAGAAACTATTTTTTTTTCTTTCTGACACCTCAATTTCCTTTTGTTTGAGCTTTGTTGTGCCAGCCAGTGTCCATCGTCGTTTGCACCTTGCAAATCGGATCAGTGACAAACTCGTCGCTGTGAGGCGGATGCCTGCTGTGGACCCGTGTAGGTAACCCCGAGAACTCTATTTCTAAATCGCGAAGTGGCCTGACATAATACGACTTCTTGCTGAGAGAATCATGTGTTTTCATTTCGTTCTTAGACGGAGAACAAAAACAAAACAAAACAAAAAACCGCTTCACATCAAAACTTTCCTTGTATACAATGTAAGTTGTGTATTTAAAAACCTCGCTACCACATGTACTTCTCTGTTTTTTTTTTTCTATTATCATCTAATTGCTTAAGCCGACAATAATTCCCACCTAGTGAGTTTTCAAATGTTGGATTTTGTAGCTAGCACTCTCTAAAATATCATCAATACAGTGGCGACCAGAAGAAATCGACACCATCGCCAAAAGTTAAATTTGCTTAATTCTTAGAAGTTTGAAATATTCGACAGTATAAATTATGTGGTCGCTCAGGAAATTAATGCAAGCCGTAGATTCTGTGTTTTTCGGGAAATTTATGCAAGCCATAGATTCTGTGGTCATTCGCGAACGTTATGTAAGCTGAAGATTCTGTGGTTTTTCGGGAACGTAAGGCATGTTGCCGCCTTAAGATGAATATTAGGAGAAGAGATACAAACCAGAATGCATCATGATCCTGAAAATCAAGTATGAAAAGGGTTTTAGCCACAAGTGGAAAAGTAGAATTAAAAGCTGTTGCTGTTATTAATGGATGAAATACTAAAAATAGCTATATATATATATATATATATATATATATATATATATATATATATATATATATATATATATGTCTGAGATGAGGCATTATGTACACTATTTACATTGTTCGGACTATTGTCCTGATCTTTGTCGCCATATTTATCGCAATGTTTCGGCCGTTGCACAATCCGGCCTTCTTCAGGTGTTCAGGTGTTGGGATTACGAACTGAACCGTTTATTTCGTCCACAACGTATGTTAGCACGTGCGATACCCGGTCTTTACCAGCCGCCGACCAAGGGTGATATCACGGTTTCGGTGGCTATGGCAGGACCGCCACCCTGGCGCCACCAGCAGCGTTTGCCACCATATTATATATATATATATATATATATATATATATATATATATATATATATAAAAAAATGGACAAAGTCCGACAATTATTTTTAAGACACTTTTATGTTTATACATTCTTTTCTTAGATACAAATATTTAAGTAAATACTCTGTTTATAATAAACAGTATTAAACAACATTTACCGGTCTGAATGTCCGAGAAATTTTCATAGAAATTCGATTCCTGACGAATGACGAATATTTTCTATGAAAATTTCTCGGACATTCAGGCCGGTAAATGTTATTAATACATATATATATATATATATATATATATATATATATATATATATATATATATATATGTGTGTGTGTGTGTGTGTGTGTGTGTGTGTGTGTGTGTGTGTGTCTGTGTCTGTGTCTCCCAACAATTTTGATTAAAAAGAACCGCCAATGTCTGGCTGTTTATTTTTTTTTATTATATTTTTCGGATAAAGTGTCAAGTATTTTGATCGAAGTTGTGGATAAACTGTCCAAAGTTCATATTTTGTTATTTTTTGTTCAAGTACTTTCGCAGTTATTATCAAGAACCGATGTGGTGTCTGAGTGGTAGTTAGATTTCCTTTGACTGCATCCCGGTATTCTTTGGGAAGCTGGACATTTGAAATGGTCTAGCGTGACGTCATGCGTAACGGCGAATAGGAACGAGCCGCACAAAAATAATGCATTTTATTCATTTATTTCTTAAATTTAAATTTTTGTTTATTTTTATTTTATTTTATTTTATTATTATAATGAAATATCTGCGCATATTAATTATATCATATGCACTTTCAGATACCTTCTCTTGTGGTGAATGGTATTTTATTTCATGTAGACTGTTTATTTAGTATAAGAATATCTTATAACGTTTTGAGGGTTTCCTTGTATTGGGTACTATAGAGTATTTTGGTGTTATCTACTAGTATTTGTTGATAGATGTCCTTGATAATAGTTGAAATGGTAAAAAAAATAAACCGAAAGATATGGTTGGTTGAATTTAACAAGACTTTTATATATATTAGTATTTCGACCGGTAATTTGATCAGGTCAGCAGTTGTAGCCGGGGTCTGTCACACGGGACGCGGAGATTAAAAAAAAAATAGTTAAATATTCTTCTCTTGCGAACAGATTTTTTTTTTACTCCTGTGGCTGTGGCGACTTTAGGGGTTATTGGTCCTCGTTCGATGACTTTCCTTTGGATGGTTGGCTGGATTGCGTCTCGATTAAGAGACGAGCCTCGCGAAACGGAGTGGCTCTTGCTGCGTGTCTCACTGGCGATGGTGCAAGGTAATGATTTCTCCATCATTGCCGCTGGAAGAGGATAGCAAAAAAAAAAAATACATTTTGTTCATCGATAATTTGTTCAAAAAAATTCATTTCTTTTTTTATATTATTATATTTTCCGTTTATACGTTATTTTTATATATATAATTTATTTAAGTAAATGAGCTGTTTTTTTTTTTTTTTTTTTTCTTAATTAAACAGTATTAATTACATTTCCCGGCCTGAAAGTTCAAGAAATTTCTTAGAAAATATGTTCTTCTCCGACGTGAATCGAACCTGTAACCATTAATGGGAACCATCATTTGATCTGATGTGCTGCTAAACATTCAGCCACAACGAAGCGTCTGGTTAGCAAAGTCCAAGTTACTGTTTATAAACATACACCTTCAACGATTTTTCTCGAAATATAACTTAACGTAAACAATGACAACATATTATGAATGGTTAACGGCACATCAGATTAAACGACGCTTTCCTTTGGGGTTAAATGCGTGAATGTATGTGTGTATGTGCGTACGTTTGCTAATTCAAATATAAACATATATGTTATTTCATACACACTGATATACTCACATACATACATATATATATATATATATATATATATATATATATATAAGAAAAGCTAAAGCTTAAAATAAGCTAAAAGATTAAAGTATCAAATGGACAGAGCGATTAAAGTACCAAAATGGACAGAGCGTAAGTATAATGTATCATAATAATACCAATGACATAAAAAGATTTTACAATCTAAAAATATTTTCTGGCTATCTACGCTTGAAAAGGGTTGGCAAACCGTAAAACGAATCAATCAATCAAGCTAGCAATTTACACTTTTGAGAACCAATTCTGCAATATTTTTTAAGAATAAAGTTAATAAACAAAAGGTTTTGTAAAGTGTTTTACAGAGCAAACCTGTAGATAGATAGATAGATAGATAGATAGATAGATAGATAGATAGATAGATATGAATAGAATTAGATAGATAGATAGATAGATAGATAGATAGATAGATAGATAGATAGATAGATAGATATGAACATAAAAATACAGGATGATATTAGATATGAGCAGAGTGAAATAGAGAAATTTTGATAAACATTAGGATAGATAGATAGGTATAATCAAGGATAGATAGATAGATAGATAGATAGATAGATAGATAGATAGATAGATAGATAGATAGATATGAACATATATTGATGTTAGATGTGAACAAAGTGAAATAATAAAATTTTGATAAACATTGGGTTAGATAGATAGATAGATAGATAGATAGATAGATAGATAGATAGATAGATAAAGTCTGCCAGGTAATGATTCTCTGTCACCTCACCTGCCAACTGAGTTATTGCTACCTGTAATCAGCCGAGCTGAGATTGTTGGCTCGCCATCATTAATTCATATCTGTTTATCATCTTACCTTGCCAAACTCGTCATTTCTACCCGCTTGGATAAACGCGTATTGACCTCAACATTATTTCCCTCCTGTCGTTATCTCTCACCTTTTCTTACTCACTAACTTCTGTCTTTTCTTTATCCTAACTCTCCCTCTTTATTTTAATTTCTCCCTTCTCCCTATCTGTCTCTACCTTCTCTATTTATTTCCTCGCTTCTATTTCTCTCATCTTTTCCTTCTCAACGTTTCATTTCTATCACATGGACATATTATCTGTTTTCCCCGCAACATTTTTAACTTTGAAAGTTTGACGCATTCTATTCGTCCTCAAAGTTTGTCCTCTTTGTAGTTCTTATTGTTTTTTTTGGGGGGGGGGTTCTTACAAAGTCCATCTTTTTAAGTTCGTATTTATTCGGCTGATGTAAATGTTCCCGTTGTCATGTCTTTTTTTTTCTTTTAGGAAAATGTTAGAAGTGTCATTAAAACTTACTAAACTATTTATTATTTGTGCATTTAGTCAGCAGCGTATTGTTTACAAGTCGTAGGAAAAAAATCAGAAGTTAAGAAAACTGTTACCTCACGCACGCGCGGCGTTTACGACCTTCGTTGCTGAAGACGTATTTGTACGTCCTTATGAAACTGCTGTCGACGTATATATACGTTTTTACGACATCGTGAAATATTGGTCTCTAGCGTTTGCGTTATTCCAATCATGTAGTTATTCGTGGCTTACAATAAAACCTATTTTCTAACGTATTTTTATTATATAGTGCTGGCGGTGTCATTTAAAATATTAGAAGAAATAATATGGCGTCACCTATGAGAAATCGCTGCCCAAGGTTTTTATAGTCATTTATTTACAATGAATGGTAATTTCTTATATTTTCCAAAATGGGCCAGCAAAGCCATGCTATAACAATGTTGCAATGAAATTTTTAAACAAGTTTTTTTTTCTTTTTTAAAAAGGATATCTTGGACAATGACAATGGAAAATGGATTTATTATAAAAATCACGATCGAGGAAAATCTCGTCGAAAAACCGGACAGACGTCAACAGAATGAATTTGAGGACAATTTCCGTCGTGTTTGGAAGTATTCAAAGAGGGTGATGTATTGAAACGTGTTTAAAATATTTCTTAGTAATGCTACACTAAACAAACAACTGGTTAAAGCGGCTCATTGGAACATAACGACATTTTTTTATCTAAATATGTCAAGAGATGAATTTCCTACTGGTGGACATCGATTCACTGATCGTAAAATTCAATGAAGCCAATACTGATTAGTCTTTCATATGTTGCGTGTTCTTTAGGATTTCAAACTATAAATTCATTTGTGCATTTCGCACCATTAAGTTTAAGGCCTTAAGATTACTATAGCAAATGATCTAGTAGGCGAAAGCGACGGTTTGAGAATTTGGTGAAATAGTTCAATCCCCGGGGCGAGCAGTGCGTTACAATCAGTGGAAACGGGCAAAGACAGTCTACCGGAGATTATATAAAGGGTTCCGTTCAGAATTCCCGATGGGTTAACTAGATCGTTATAAATCTGAAGAAGGCCGGATAACAACAACAAAGATGAGGATAATAAACCAAATGTAAATTTTTAAATTGTTTAATGTTGATATTTTATAATTTCCCCGTCTTAAGGTGCTTCCCTAAAAAAAAAATAACTTAGGATGATAAACTCAGTAAATTCACCAATGATCATATAATTCAAATTTACAAAATTAAATAAAGGGTGACCCCCAAAAAACGGAATTTTTGAAGTGCGTATTGCCAGACATGAGCAAGTGGCAACACTGCGAGACAGTGACCTTAAGCAAGTAAACATTTCGCCATTTTGAATTCAAGATGAAACTCACAGTATCCCAGCTGAGATGTTGCAGCAGTCAATGAGGAATCTCAACAGCAGATTTCAAAAATGCATTCGTACAGTAGGACGCCATCTACAGGACGTAATTTTAAAAAAAATGAAAATTCCATCATTGTTTCTTAAATGGCATCTTTTAAGGTTTCAATTACTCTGAATAAAATATTTTTCTTTCAACACTCTTGGTCTTATTGGATTGTTAAAAAGTTCTCGTTTTTTGGGGGGGTCACCCTATATATTTATGTTGCTATTATTATTATTATTATTATTATTATTATTATTATAAAATGTGATGATAATAATAATAATAATAATAATAATAATAATACACAATATGAGTGACGTAACTCTTCCAATATTTTTCAACAGCGCGATTTAAGAAAAGAAAAAGAAAATGTTTTGACTATGTTAAACCTTTGAAATATTGTTTAACATTGTCAAACATTTTGTTTTTATTTTTCATTATCTTTCCTTAAATGGCACATTTCTCTTAACTAATAAGCAAAAAAAAAAAAAAGAAGAAAAAAATTCCAGGAAATTTTAATGGTTCGAGGTAATGCTTTCTCGATCATTGCGGCTGGCAGAGGTTAGAAAAAATTGTTTATTGTTACGTTGTTCTGGAATTGTCATTATTGGTCAACTGTAATTGAAATTAGTTTCATCAAACGCAATAACGCTGGAATTAAAAACTAGTTGCGTGACGACAGAGAAAACAATCTTTGAAAACGAACAGAGAGTATCATTTGAAAGTACTTTGTTTAGCTCATAAACCCAAAAGTCGGATTGAAATTTGTGAGTATTTGAAACAACAACGAATTGCGATTTTTGCTATAAGAAAATGTGACTTGCATAATGTTAACAACGAATTCGCAAAATTGACCAACCGATGTGTCAAGATGGAGAAGGTTTTTTGCAAAGATGAAATTGTATTAATATATCTAAACTTCAAAAATTTAAATTAGGTTTTGAAATACAGCAAAGTTTTTTGCTGATTGCAGATATTAAATATAAACTATTAGCTTGAAAATAAAACTAAAATAAAAGCTTCAAGAAAGATTTTTCATCTTAAAAAAATTCCTTTTAAACATTAGGTATCGCTTTTTTTCTTTAAGGCATGGACTACCAGGAATGATTTCAATGAGTTTAACACCATGCAACCTGATACAAGATGGCCAATTGTTTCTGGATATTTATCACAGAATCTGCATTTAGTGTTAACACAATTTTTCAGTATATGTGCTTGGTAATTTCTAGTTAGTAAGCATTGGTCCTGTGCAACAAAAAATAAAACCTTTGGTTTCATCTTTTAGCCCGAAACTACGTAACTACTAAGGGGTAAGGGGTTTGTCTACATCAGCCTGTCTGGTACGGGCAGAGTATTGACCATGAAGAGGTTTATTTTGCTATCGTTTCTGCATTTAGTACATTGCATTCGCTTTCTTTTTAGGTTCTTTGCCGCTGCAGTAGGTGCATTATGTTTTCCTAAATCGCGTTCTTCTCTTAACTGTTGAAAAATATTGGAAGAGTTACGTCAAACATTTTGTTTATTATTATTGTTTTTATTTCTTTTGATTTCTGGCGTTTACACATTTCTTTCCGGTTCTCGCCCAGGGACCTAAGGTTAGAAATGGCATCTTAACATATTCCACTGAGAAAAAAAAATTCGTAGATAAAGCCCTTCGTAAAGTGTCGGCTGTACTTGTCAGAACAATTTTTTGTATTTTTTTTTTAGGTATGGACTTCCAGGAATCCCTTAATTAGTCTACTGGAATCTTTTCAAACCAATCCTAGGGCTCTAACTACAACAGGGATTGTTGATGTTCCCATGTGCCACATTTTTGAGATTTCGATTTCAAGGTCCTTGTATTTTGACAGCTTTTTGAATATCTTCAAAGATACATTGCAGTTTTAAAGTTCCGCAGAGTTTGTGATTTGAAGAATTCAACTCAACTAAATTTCCACGGATTTTGTGAATTGAAGAAATCAATTTTCGGCCTGAATTGGAATTTCCGCCCAACTCGGAGTTTCAGTCCAAATCGAACATTCGACCTAAATCGGTCTTTTGGTCGGAATTGGATTTAAAACCCGAAACAGAGTTAAATTTAGGTTTTGAAGTTCCATGAAGTCAACTGAGGAATTCAAAGTTATTTCTTCAAAATTATCATTGCTGTTTTCTAAGCTGGACCTGAGATCCCTTTAGTTTTCGGTCGGAAGCCCAAATAGCCCACTGTAGGAGCTAGCTTAAAAGTCTTTTGAGCTAGTATTCAATAAATCAAGAAAAGTTCACTTCACTTAATGATAAGTCACTTGAATTTTTCTTGATTTATTAAATATCTATCTATCTATATATATATATATATATATATATATATATATATATATATATATATATGCTATTAATAAATATACATGTACCTCTTCATTTGGTAAAACTTGTACCAAACGGCGAGAAACAAACTGTACAGGGAAGACTAAATATTACAATATAAAATATAAAACATGTGTTGAAATAAAGGTGGAAACATCAGATTGAAATTATGTCAAGCCCTAACAGGCATTCCCTCTGTTTACAGAGGGAGAGCTGCCTGGACCTGACATAGATCGTTTCCAATAGCTTTAAATGTAACACAGAATGAGCATGACGAAGAATGGAAAATGAGTCAATGCTGAAATTTCTGGCACAACTTGGATTGTTTATAAGGTGCTCAGCAATGGTGGAGACGTATGTGTTCCTGACCTTGTCACAAGATTGGAACGTACCATTCCTAATTCTTCCGGGTACGTGCTGATTAATTCGTGCGTCTAACCGTAAGGTATTTCTACCTATGTAGTTGGCTCCGCAACTACACCCGAATCAGTATATCACATTATTAATATTTCGAGCAGACACCGAAGGAGACCTGGTAGAAAAACAATACGTAAATTGGCGGAAAAAAATAGCAATTTATCTGTATATCTATCTGAGAACAGAATCTATCTATCTATCTATCTATCTATCTATCTATCTATCTATCTATCTATCTATCTATGCACAGATGGGCGCGCAAACGTACACCCACAAACGCGCGCACGCATGCACAGACACACTGCGAAATAAAATTTGCATCACCGAAAAGGGCATATAAAAAAGAAAATCGAGAGAAGTATGAACAGTCAATCGCTGATATCTCCTGACAAGTGGACGGAGTGATTTCCGGAGTGCCCGCCCATGAAACTCGTGAGGCTGAAGCTAAAATCAAACAGCTAAATGAGAAACCTTTTACTTGTATTAATTCTTACTCTCTCTCTCTCTCTCTCTCTCTCTCTCTATATATATATATATATATATATATATATATATATATATATATATAATAAAACTTTAATATTCCATGGTCATAATTTATTCCATTGGAATCGTAAATACGATCCAATTCATCAGACCTACAAATTACAGGAATTTGT